CATAAGGGTTCCTCCTTTTTTTGGTTTTGTATTTGTTTCTTGTGTTTGGAGTAGTTCTGGAAATGGAATGTCTTCCATTTCTATCCAGAGATGTCTGCTTTTCAAACAGCTTGGTTTTTATATGCTAAGAGCACAAATAGAGTAAAATCTTGGCCTGTAGCCAGACATAACTTCAGCTGTATCGCATTTTCCAGGTTCCTTCTCTTCTCCTTTTGATTACTCTTAGGATTTTAACTGTAGCTTTTATCTATGTGGTTTAGACTTGCTGTTTTTAATTTTGAAAATTGAATATTCATTTTGAATATTGAGTCATATATACAATTTATGAGAACGGAAACAAACAATGACAACCCCAGAAATTGTCAAAATGCTCCAAAAAGAAATAAAATACTGGTTTCGGCTGAAGATACAAATATAGGCTGAGACTTGCGTGGCCAGTTCAAAATGTAACTTCACATATGATTAAATACACAAAGGCATTTTTAAAGTGCTCCTAACTAGCCTGCAGACACCCACAGACATTCCACGTGCTTCCCCATCCTTACACATTCTCTGTTGGAATGTGTTTATGTGTATCACAGTCTTGGGCTTTGAGGCAGCTGGACAAGCTATTTTCTTACCTAATCACCTCTGAGTGATTCGTATGCTGAAATGAAATATAGGAATACTTACCTCTGAGTTTGTCTTTGCAAATACTACTCTAAAACAATTTTCATGCTTGAATATTAGCTCTGTAAATATGACTGAGACCCATTACTGCAACAGTAATACTCAACCGTGCTCCCTATTAGCTGCCTCTCAAACTCCATTCAGTGCTTATGGTATACAGCAAGTGACGCTCCCAGTAAAATGCAGTAAAAATTTACTCAATGATGTAAGACCAAAAAGAAATAGAAGAAAAAAAGAAAATAAACCCCAAATGTGAAACAGGGGAAGGGAGAAATACATTACATTGATACTTTTGAAGAAAAAATTACAAGTTTTTAGTTTTCCCTTCTGAAAAGTATTGTTTGCCAATATTTTTACTACATCTTTAGGTATTGAAGGAATATAAAATCTTCTTCTTTTTCACTGTCTAGATACATATTATACATAAAAAATAAACCGCACATATACATGGGCACACACAGACACATATAACCTATGGTTTAACTCCAGTAAACCATATAACAGACACTGAAGCTTGTTCATCTTTTCTATAAACATGCTAACTAAAACATCAAAATTGTACCCTTTGTAAGATCTCTCCGGTAAGTCTCTTGCATTTGTTCAAGTGCCATGGTACTCCATCAAATCAGTCATGTTATTCCAAAAGATACTGAAATATTCACATGGGCAACATTCTCTTAGTAGCTTTATTACAGAATGAAACAATACCATACTTCTTATCAAACTAATACACATTTTCCTTTTGACTGAAACAGAACTGCACATGCATTTTGTTGTAAATATATGGATTGGGCATGCAGGTGTAAGAAGAATGGCAGAAGACTTGTAAGACAGAATCCTGCTATCAGGTGGGGAAGATTGTTGTTTAAGTCAACAGTACTGAATTATTCTTCCAAAACTTACCGCAAAGTACAAAATCACTCTACAATTGGAATCTCATTATTTCTATTCTATGAGGTGAAGTAATGACCTCTGCAGAAATGACTCCCCAAGCATGAAATCAAAAGTTCAAAAAGAACTCTTATTATCTTTCCCAAGGTAATACTATCTCAAGACACAGAGAACTTTTAATACTGAGGATTCAAAAGTATCAGCCTCTCTCATAACTGAAAGAAAAGCTGCAGACACTTGTCTACCTTTGACTGAAATATATGTTTGCTGTCTGATTTTCAGCTAGCATCCAACAAGTAAAAAAGGGTCACAAAACATATTTGTAAAAAATACAGAAAAGTAAAATGTAGCAAAGTAAAAAAATTCTCTTGGGCCTTAAATAGAATCATAGAATAATCTGGGTTGGAGCAGACCTTTAAAAGTCATCTAGTCCACCCCCCTGCAATGAGCAGGGACATCTTCAACTAGATCATCTCACCACAAGAAAGACATTGGGTGCTGGTCGAATTCCAAAGAAGGGTAACAAAGGTGGTGAAGGGTCTAGAGAGCAAGCCTTAGGAGGAGCAGCTGAGGGAACTGGGGTTATTTAGTCTGCAGAAAAGGAGGCTCAGGGGAGACCTTATCACTCTCTACAAGTACCTGAAAGGAGGTTGTAGCAGGGGTTGTTGGTCTCTTTTCCTAAGTAGTAAGTGATAGGACGACAGGAAATGGCCTCAAATTGTGCCAGGGGAGGTTTAGATTGGATATGAGGAAAAACTCCTTCACTGAAAGGGTGGTCAAGCATTGGAACAGGCCGCCCATGGACGTGGTTGAGTCACCATCCCTGGAGGTATTTCAAAGACGTGCAGATGTGGCACTTAGGGACATGGTTTAGTGGTGGACTTGGCAGTGTTAGCTTTACGGTTGGACTCAATGATCTGGAAGGTGTTTCCCAACCTAAATGATTCTATGATACTAAAATCGGTTACGGCTGGACTCAATGATCTTAAAGGTCTTTTTCAACCTAAATGATTGTACGATTCTAAAATTGTTTGCTATTTACTACTGAGTGCTTTCAAGATGAATTATCTTCACAGATACTCCAGGCCTAGGAGGTCATAGAAAAAATTCCTGAAGGCAATGGAATACATAGCTGTAGTTTTGCACGATGACCTTAAGTTAAACTCTCCATGTGATGGTGTTGACTTTACAGCAAATTTGAGACTAATTTGGTTAGGACAAGGCCATAAAGAACAAACAAGCTTTACATTCTTACTTTGCCAGAAGGGCTACCAGAAAGATGTTCAGGGAAAGCATATTTCCATTGGATTAACCCACTGTTAATTATTTCAAAGACGTGCAGATGTGGCACTTAGGGACATGGTTTAGTGGTGGACTTGGCAGTGTTAGCTTTACGGTTGGACTCAATGATCTGGAAGGTGTTTCCCAACCTAAATGATTCTATGATACTAAAATCGGTTACGGCTGGACTCAATGATCTTAAAGGTCTTTTTCAACCTAAATGATTGTACGATTCTAAAATTGTTTGCTATTTACTACTGAGTGCTTTCAAGATGAATTATCTTCACAGATACTCCAGGCCTAGGAGGTCATAGAAAAAATTCCTGAAGGCAATGGAATACATAGCTGTAGTTTTGCACGATGACCTTAAGTTAAACTCTCCATGTGATGGTGTTGACTTTACAGCAAATTTGAGACTAATTTGGTTAGGACAAGGCCATAAAGAACAAACAAGCTTTACATTCTTACTTTGCCAGAAGGGCTACCAGAAAGATGTTCAGGGAAAGCATATTTCCATTGGATTAACCCACTGTTAATGACAGTATGTAAGTTGATGTTAACAGTACTGTTGATGACAGCAGCAGTAACTTTTGGTCATGCAGATGGCAAAAATTTCCACCTCCAATTGTTAGAGAAAAATCCTGCCAACCCTTCTTTTATGTAGAGATGACTATCAGGAGTATAATAGTTTTATCTGAGAACTTTACCACCTGTGTTTGAAAACCTAAAAATGTCCTTATAATATAGATAAAACTCTAGAGAGCCAAGACACTTAGATACCGTTCCTGGAAAGAACAGTCTCATGAGTTTAGACTCTGTTTGCGTGAAATTTCCACTTGAAATTGGAAGCATTGATGGACAGGAGGTTTTTGATATTTATTCCTATTTGGAATAGCAATGGAATCTTGCCACGCCAGAGAACCAAAAAGGATGCCTGGATGCGGTGACAGTACCCAGAAGGGTTTGCTTTCCCTAATAACACAACAACCGCTGCTGTTGCTGTGTGTCACATTCCCTGTATGAATACTTCAAATACGACTGCATTTCCCAGAGCCACGGTTCAGGTTGGTTCACATACTGTAAAACCACGTGGTGGCTGGCCCATTCAGACATTTTCTGTCAAGCTAGTGATGTTTTGTATTGCACTAGGGAAGACTGGTTTTGACACAAGCTGATCCCTAGCGGTAGCCTCATCTCCCTGCTTGGGAATTTTGTCATCACTCAATGTGAAACGTGGGTGCTGAAATTCATTATTTCCTCGCCTCCCCCGCCCCCTTCTGATCTGGTCTCACTTTTAACTACCTACAGGAAGGTACCTTTTTCTCAAACAGGTGGAGGTGAACCTGAACAACTCCCTATCAAACCAAGCCTGTTCAAAGTCTTTGGGGCTCAATAAATTGAGGAAATATGTTGTGCTGAGAAACTCAAGCCATGCATGACAGGCACTGCACAGCCTTGCAAACGACAGAAGACTGAACACTTCAATCACTTCTCCTAGAGCTCTCAACTGAGATATGACTTCACTACCACTGGGAAACAAGGAGCAATCACTGTCAGATGAACGGAAACACTGATCACAGGATGCTACTCCGTGGCAATCAAAGTAGAGACCAGTCAAGGAAAAAAAAAATTATTCTGTAAATTCTTTGACATATTTCTGGAAATGTTGACCAACATCAGCAGTGGGGCCTTCCCCAAAAGACAGTTACTCAGAATCTGGCAAAATTTTATACTCCAAATTAATTTTGGCATGGAAAATAAACTCTGAGAGAAACTTTCCTTCTCCCTTTACTGGGTCAGAAAAAAGTATAGTTGCTGTAGAATTACCTCCTCTTATGTGCATTAAGTATGGTGCTAGTGATGATACTGCAGCAATAAATCCAATTTGCAGCAGCAATAGGTGTTTCAACAAGCAGAAGGCAAAAGAGGATAAATACCATTCAATAAAAAATTTACCAAATTATTCCTCTTAATATTAGAATAGACTTATTTATTTCTCTAATGAAAACGGTAAAATATCTTCTCCAAGATGTGGCCTGTCACAACACTGTGACACTTGCAATAAGTGACATTTTCTCTGGTATTTCTTTTTTCCATGGATGCCATAAAGTGCACCGCATGAATATGAAGTGACATCTTTACTAATGTGTGGTACTTACTTATCTCCCACAATTCCCAAGTTGATTGTTGGATAGCCATGTTCTTGGATTGTAGCTAGGAGAGTTGAACGGTTACTGTCCCGAATCTTTCCTGGCAAGAGGTCATCTTCAGGATTCAGTAGCTATAAAAACAGAAACACTCTCAATCAGTCTCCTTGGAGTACTGTGCCTTTACACAAGTGAGAATTTTCTTCTTCAGACTGGACAGGATATTCTTAGACACCTATCATAAAATATATGTGTAAAGTGATTTAGTGAATTTAAATTAATAATATACATAATGTGCTTGTTTAGTCCAATCCTCCATGTTGCTTAGTTTGTTTCTATTGGTCCACGTCTGCAAAACCGTCTTTCTCCTTATGAGTACCTGGCTTCTAATCTCAAACATTAGAAATCAAAACACAAACTTTAAGTTTCCAAGTTATTCCTTCTATTTACATGGATTTAAGGAACCTCATTGATGTTGCTAATGAGATATAAAGGTATTAAAATTTTTTTGAAGTTCATTGTCTACTTACCAATAAAGATGTTTTTTAAATACAACACTCTCTATTGGAATAACAGACAGAATCTTAAAGCTTGGTTCTTGTATCAATTACTGTTTTGGATGAAAAGCTTTCTCTCAAGATAATATCATGGCAAGTGCCTTACAGGTGTTAAATATTTTGGAAGTTAAACTACAAAACATACATATGTAAACATATATTTTACATATATTAGGAATGCTTTTGTAGGACACTGAAGGACAACACCATATTGACAGGAGGTAAATAATTATTATAATAATAACAACAACAACAATAACAACAATCATAATAATAATAATCATCATCATAATAATGTGCCTGTCAAAATTACAGCAATAGAGTTAGGTAGTAATGTAAGAATAACCTAAAGTGGAGCATGGCTAAATTTTGATGCTTTGCCTAGCAGCTCTATTTCTGTGAAGGTTTCCATAAGATGTTTAAGAAACCCACTGTGCAGGACCTTTTTTAACACGTGATACAAAAGAGAGTGCTCACATCAGTAAATGCTTAATGATATGCAAGAACCTTCAGTCATACAGAAGATACTATTTAGAAAATCATCACCTGTAATCCTTGTAGCTCTTTGGATTTGTTCTTCGGTTAGCGGTGTTTCCTGCACGACACACCCTGTCTACGTTATGAAATCCAGCAAGATTCTGTCCCAGCAAGGCTGGCCTCAGCCACCCAGAGTAACCAGTAGTCACAGAGTAACCTTCACTGGGGTTGTGGAAGTTGTAAGGACACCACCAGATGACAAGATTCAACATATTAAAAGTTTTCAAAATCTTTCAAAATTCAACATATTCAAGTTGTATGAGAATACAGATATTTGGTTTATGTGTGTGTCTGGATTTCAAAAAGTTTGCCTCAAAAGACAGTCAAAATTGTAGGTCAAACTTCATGCTGTCTTTAAACTTCAAACTGACTTAATCTCAATCCAAAAGTTCTTTGCTTTTGCTCTTCCTATTCTCTCTCTGTCCTGCTGCAGGAGGGAATGAGCAAGCATAGTTGCTGGCTGGGGTCAAGCCACAACATACGGAAAATTAGTAAATTAAGTTAATATCAAACCTGATTTTTCTGCAATTAGAAAGTTGGACTGGTGCTCTACCGAGAGGAGATTGTCTGGATTTCAACATGTGCTACTATTAAAAAAAAATTAAGACACAATACTACAGCAAGGCATTTGGTAGCTCTATGCAGTTTTCAAAGACAGGTTATCTGCCATTTGCACCACAGCTACAGAGGAGTGCTGCCCAAAAGAAATTATTCTTCCAGTCATGATTGGCAGTATGAATTACAACCCTGACTATTCCACAGGTCCTCCCTTGCTGGCAGGAGGAAAGCAGCTGGCACATGACTGGATACACTACCAAAATTTTGGCAAAGACCGCATGTGAGACTTGTGAGAGAGCCCTTGAGAGAGAAAACACAAGCAGCTGATTATGGGTTGATCACTCACAAAAAATACCTCACGTCAGCACGAGTTGCAGCTCAAAAAGTGAGTCTACTTGGCAATAGGGTGGAAGTCACTATCCAAAACGCTGTTCCAAATAAGATATATTCAGACCTTGATTCTAAACATACTTTTCTTACCTCATTCCCTGTTGACATGACTGCAACCACTGGAAACTTGTTAACTTCTACTTCGGTTACTCCAACAGTTGCTAAGAGACCAATCTCAGATGGACCCATGTGGGTTCCTTTGGCCAGCACACATTCACCTCTTTTAATGTCATGTCCTATAGGTCTGAAAATCATAGCACAGAAAAAAACGAAAGAAAAACAGAATGAGATTGAAAGTATCTTTCCTTGATTGGTCCTGCTCCAGGTGAGGAGTGTCAAGGGATGTTCATTAGTCAGATTGTCAAAATGTCAACATTACTTCTGGCAGTACTAATTTTTTAAATTACTATGAAAATCACCAGCCCTTCTACTCCTTACAGAGACGCTTTACTGTTTATAAAGTAGGCTGTTTACAGACCTGATATCTTGGCCTGGTCGCGCCTGCACCAGGATTCGAACTTCTAGTTCTTCAGTGCCCTACAAAAACAGGGAGATCAAATATGGTCAGCTGGGCTATTCAAAGAAGATAATCAGCTTTAATTTCTCAGAACTCTACACAGCTTGCAGTACTCATTACACTGAGACCTTATGGTTTAAGCATCATCATTGTTCTCCTGATCTGTGTCAAGATTGTAACACGTGTGCTAAAACGGAACAGTTTTCTAAGGAATTCTCTCTTTGATGAGCTCACCAGGGAAAGACCAGCACTGAATACACAGTTTTATCTTCCTTTTTTTATGATTCCCATGTTTATATATCTTTCCTATGTTACATCCTATGTTTGTCTGTTAATCTGGTATACCGAGTAGATTCTTTCTACTCCTCTCAGACAACTTGATCTGCTCGAACAATTTCAAAGATGGCATTTCAAAAGAGCATTAGTCTGACAGACAATATGCCACTACCTCTGCAGAAAGGTCGAAAAAGCTATATGCTCTAGCTGTTTCCAGATTTTCATGTAGATTTCTATAGCGGAATCTCACACTTGAGAGCTTTGTACAAATCAGAAAGAGGCTTATTCATCATACTTACTTATTGTGAACAAGAGACAGTGGCCTGAAAAGTCTGATGCCTACTTTAGTATTTAATTCTTCAGAATTTCAATAGTTTGGCAATTAATTCAATGCCAATAAATGGCACGTGACCTATATTGTTAATATTTAATTTATAAGCCCTGCAAGTGGGTTGATGATATATACACTCAGCTTCGAGACAGTGCCAGCCTATCAGTAGCACTACATCTACTCTTGCTTAGACTGGAACAGATTTTGTTTTTGCATTACCATGTAGTTCTTCAAACTTTAAGTGTCTCAAAGTTATGAATCAGACACTAATATTAAAAGACAAACAACACATGTCATTGTCATTTGGAATTTTTACAGGAACGATAGTGTTCTATGGGACACTGGACTTGACTCTTTTCTTAAAGGGGATATGGACTGCATTTTCTGAGTTCAAACTAACTGCTTTAAACTAAAGGCCCCCAAGTTAAAGTTAATGAATGTGTTGCTACAGATTGTGATTCTGTTTACCTACTGTGAAAATGGATAAATTTAAACCCCAGAAAACCAGGAAATGACTAACAAAAACATCAACCCTGAAAAAACTGATTTCTTACTTTACCACAGTATTTTCAAAATATGCTTTTAATACAAATTCTGTTTCATTTATACCTTGTATATATTCTTGTATAAGAGAAAAGACTATTTTTGGTTGCTAGTGTACAAACTGTCTGTGCTGGTGCCCAAGATGTCCTTTTATCTCCCTTATCCCCATCTGAAGCTCTAAAAGACACTTCAGGCTTGTGATGAAAATCTGGGGCAACAGTGTGCCTAAGAATTGTTTTATTTTTATGACACTCTGGAGTCATAAAGATTTGAATTTTTTGGTCATGAAGATTTGAATTTTCCATATCTTTGATAACATTTAAAGATAGCTAGGAAGTTTCTAGAGAATCAAGAAGAGTGCCAATGATACACCTGAGTAATAGAAAAGGTCCTATTTAGGGCTCCTGGATTAGGGAAAACAAGAAAAAAAAAGGCTTTTCAGGAATTTAGTAATCCCAGGTTTGAAAAGCACTGTGGAAAGTGTGACTGCGGACAACATGGTTATGTGCAGAGATTTTTATTTATGGAATTGATGGATATCCCAGAATGCTTTAGGAATACAAGATAATTCAAGGTGGCTAGAGGTAGGTGTTGCAGGAGGTACGGCATTATGCTGAGAACATCTTCCATTTGGTGCGTATTAGGCAGCGTTCTTCTTGCTGTGTATTAATATAAGATGAACTGTGTCTGGGTGGTTTATTCTGATGGTGGTTAACAGCCAATATCCATACTGACATACTGATGCTCAGTCTTGATGTTGGATCTAACTCTTGTTTTGGCTGGTCACATTAACCTCCTTTTCCCTTCAAGGTGACATAAAAACTCAAAATGAAAAAGGTGTAGACATGTTTTTGCAAGGATTTTTCTCAATGACTGTGCATTTGGCAAGCTGATGAGAATTTTTCTTCCTGCTGGATAGATTTAATTCCTTTCAGGCCTGTGACTTCTACAGTCTATTGGGGAATGCTTGCTATGATATTTAAGTACTGTTACACAACTGGAGGTCAAGGAGCTCCTTGTAAAAGTACTTTCTGTCTTTTCAGAAGAACATTTTTCAGATGTTAGAGATTTCATTTCAGTTAAATCCCAGCCCTGAAGGAGTTCTTAACACTAAAAAGAAAAATATTCTTGAAATATGTAGCCACTCAGGTGTGAAAAAGGAGAGAAAAATAACATATTAATTAAACTACACTAATTATTTATGTACAGGATTAGCAGAGTGGCATATTCAAGGACAAGTAGAAACTGAAGAGTTCTACCTCACACTTATAGGCAGGAAAAGAAAGCTGAAGGTGGCTTCAGAGTTTAAGCACATAGTCAGATAATCTGTTCTCAACATGCAGAGGAGAACATGCACTGAAAAAGTGGAATCCAGGAAGACATTCGTCCAAAGAAGTAGAAAATAACAGGTTACCATGTATGTTGCTCTGCAATTTGATAGTCCTCTCATGATGAGGTGGGCAATGGCCACAGAAAATTTGCTCAGTAAGGTTAATGCAATGATTAACAAGCAGTGAAGGCAACGGTGTATTTTACAGGAAGATATAATCTACACGTACACTTCTGTAACCTCAAAGCAGGACTGACTCAATAAATTGTTAGGAAGAAGGTGAGCCTAGACAACTTGCTGACTTCATCAGATGTAAAAACTCTATGCATTTACAGTAATAAGGCAAGAGAAAGGATCATGAGACTATGTTTCAGTTTTTGCTCTCTTCATCAGCTTTGAACACTAGAATTCCTCTGCTTACGCCCCAACTGCAGTTGCAATGCTAGCATAGAGCTACGGTGAAGTGGAACAGCTTGTAAGAACAGCTGCAGAGCAGCAAAGGCTGATTTGAGCAGAGAACCGTGCATACACTTCGTTCCAAAACTGAACTTGGAAGTTGTGTTAGTAAGAGACGTTATCTTCTTGTCTTATAATCTGTCAGATGATGGCAAACTGGTGATGGTGTCCTGAAATCACAGCTGAGTAAATGAAGGTAATGATTCAGAAGGAATTCTCTGAACACAAAGGAAGTCTAGGATGGACTGTTTGGGATACAGTTGTCTACAGACAACTCCTTGTACTTCAACAAAAAACACATTTTACTTTAAGACAACTGTATGTACAGAATTTAGTGCTACAGCACTCATTTTTTCTGTGATGTTTTGCAGCATCGGTAGCGTAGAGCACTAATATGATTTATAGGTATGCTGGAAAATCTGTTCAAACAAACAGACTTAAGACTACATTCTGGGGGAATTATGCACCTTATTCATTTCCTGGTTTTCAAGAGGTCTTAAATTCAGTAACTTTCTCATTTTAAAGGAGCATAGAGGTCTATTGAAGAAACTTAGTTATGGTTTAAAAAAATCTGGGGGGCACTTTACTTCCCCTGTTACACAATAAAAGCCCTTATTCTAAACATATGCATTTATTGTAAGGTATGTGCATAAGACATATTCTCCAAAATCCACCAAATTCACCTTTGCTGAAATGAGACCTACTCTGATAACACAGAACAGTCATCCCATGGATTTTGCAGCACTTAAAATAGTTCACTTTCCCACAGAAAATCATACTCAGCTTTAAATACATCAGCGGTAATTCGGTACTGTAGTATTTCAATGCATTATTCTGGGATCAATATGCATTTTAAAAAACTTTTCCCCTTCATACTTGGTGAGCTTAGGAGAACTTTTAAAGTCCTCATCTTGCTGAGTTTCAGGATGATCCTGAAATATAAAGAAGATTGCCCTACTGCTAAATGTGAACTCAGTAGAAAAAAAGGAAATATAATGTCAGATTGCCACTAGTCTGTATATTAAAATGTGAATACACTAGGCATTCAAATTAGACTGTAATTATGGATCTCCAGGAGGCATTTGCCTTTCACTCAAATCATGCTCCCAAATACTGTGGTGTCAGCATTCAACAACTGTGATGAAAAATCAGTGTCAGGACAGGTAGGTCTGTGGTACTGTTATTACAGCCTGAAAAAGCGAGTAGAATTGCCAGTAGGAACTAATATGAAAATCCTCAAACTCCTGAGATTAACGGAAGAGCTCTTCTGTAGGGCTATCTTCCATATTTACAGGATTGTATCATGGGCCATTTTCTACTGCATCCAAAAGAAAAATGAGTTTTAACATGTGACTCACATCATCTGATTCCCTGATGAGCTCTGTATCTTCCACTTGCACCACTGCATCAGCACCACATGGAATTGGAGCACCAGTTGTAACGCGCATTACCTGACCAGGCATCACAGTCTGAGTTGGCTGGAAAATAATCGAACAAAAATTAATTTACTTTTGAAAAGGAAAATCTCCAACCATTTGAACTTTATGGAAGTAATCTGAAAGACTACAATTCTTATTTGTGGCATGACTCTTGATATACTGCTAGTGATATCAACAGGTATAAACTCCAATGTACTTACAGATTATTAGGTCATTGCTTCAGATCTGGCTTTTTTATATGGTCACAGACTAGGTGGCTTCAGATTTTTCCCCTTAGATTTCTATCACAAGAACAACTTTCAGAAGAAGCAATATACTGATACCCTTTGGCTCAGAAAAGTAACTGGCTCAGAAATATAAATGTTAGATGGTGACCTTCTAGAACCCTACATGAGCAAAAATCTAGTAGTCCTCTGTATGTAAATATTTTTGCAGAGTACTGTGGTCCCCAGGGTTGAAACTGCTTTGGTTTGGTTGTTTTTTGTTCTGTTTTACCAGCACACCGTACATAGGAAACCAGCAGTTTGTACGTAAAGTAATGTAACCAGCTGCTTCACGTTTAAGCAGATTTCCTCATACTGAGAGACAGCTCAACACTAGCTCACATAGAATACCTATCTTTGTGAGGGCCAGTTTAGCAAAGCCTAAACCCGATAATATTCTACAATTATGTGAAGTCATAGCACATAACAAAGTTTCAGCAGAAGCAATACAAAGAATAAAACAATATCAGAACAACACGATAAAACAAATGACATCGTTTTAATAAAATTTCTCACCAGGCAGCCTATTTTAATACACATTTTTCAAAATCCAGAGTAAAATTGTCTTTAGTGAAAATTTTTAAAGGAAAAATGTATTCTATAGAAAAATTCTCTCATTTAAAAAGCATTTTTTGGGCCTCAAGAACCACAAAGAATACAAAATGTCTAGGACTCTGCCAGAAATAGATGCCTATGGTGATAAAATGTGCTGTTACTATCCATGCTTTTGGAGTTTATTACTAGAGGAGTTAATTTTTTGAGGTGTAATGATATGAAATATTTAAACAAATTTATGATACAATAACAATTGCTTTTAGAATTGGTTGCTCATATATTTTACTTTTTGTCCTTTGAGAACGTGATGAAATTAACTTTACGAACAAAAATCAACCATCAGATTTGTGTGTGTGAATCTCCAGGGCTGTGTTCTTCTGTGCTAGAGACTATGAAGATAAAGAAATGATTCCTTCTCAGAAAGGATATTTATGTACAACAGAAGCTCTTTCAAAGGCCCCTGAGGTCTCCCAATTACCTGGAATAGGGAGGTACTGGGTTCTGTCCCTTGCCTTCATCACTGATAATCTAATTAACGTTAGTCACTGAATGAAAACCATAAATAATGTATTGAGCACAGCGCCCATCTCAGGCACTTTCTTTTGCACATGATTACACCTTTCCTGCACGATTTACAATCGCCCATGCTCCTTTCTATAAAAAGGCCCAAGGTAATGGAAAGGTACAAAATGTCTGTTTTCCATCCTATATTATAGCTAGTTAGTCACAGTGCCTCTTACAAACGTCTTTAGAAAGTCTTCGAGGAAATGCTAAACTCCAGCTATGCAAGTCTACAGAAGGAACATCAGTGCTCCCCATGGCTGAGTTTTTCACACAGAGGCCATGGGGGGATGGCTCGTGACTAGTACTCTCAAATGTGCCCTAATCTCCCCAAAGCAGGGTAGTGTCTGAAAGTTTTCCTCAATATAAAATAAAAAATGGTTGTTAACACAAACACGACAATTTGGAAATGGAGATCAGAAAATAATACACAATTTACAAATTGATACAGAAATGTCCAACTTGGCTATATGGCCTCTCTGCAATTCTCAGTCCCATTTTCTTCCCCTCTACGTGGCATTTACATAACCTTCTTCCCTGCAGGAGGAACCAAATCTAAACCTATTTTGAACTCCCTGCTGTGAATCATTCTGTTAATTGGTCTGTAACATGAAAAGCAGAATGTTGCTGCTGAGAGTGACTGAAGGGTGAAATGAGACTGAGGAGCCTTCCAAGGCTATAAATAATTTCTTGGGAAGGAGATGAACCTGAAGATGTGTTGGATCAAGAAAAAAAAAAAACAACTTTGACCAATTATTCAGAGGTCAACAGCCTCATTTTTCTAACTCGCCATTTGTATTTCCAGAATTATTCTCTCTCTATATGCCTCCTCCCAGCCAATTTTTGTTCCTTGCCAGAGAGGTTTCCCATTCCCATTAATCTGGAAGGACAGACTGTCCCTGCAGAGAGACATTTGTGGGCTCTTGAATTTTGTAGGAGGGAAGCAAGATCCCATTTGACCTTTTATCTTTTGTACAAACCTGCTGAACTGATTCACACTGAAAAACTTTCACACTGAAACTCTTAAGACCTGTGGGCAGTCCTCCCTGTTAGACACAGCTTCAACAATACTGTTTTTAAGCACTGCTGTGCTGTGATTTCTTTTAACTAGCAAAATGATAACATTGATGACAGGTGAATAATGATAGGAGTGATAATTCAGCAGGTTGCTCTGCTGGATCTTGCTATTTTATAGTGACCATAAAAAGGGCTGTAGAAATAGTTGTCAGTCTTCTGGATTCAGGACTAATGCTTGAAAATGCAGACAGAAAGGATAAAAATCCAAGGCAGGTGAAATTAATTAGTGTTACTTTTTTTAGTATTTATAGTAATTTTACATATTGTGTATAACAGATTCATTAATCGAAGTTCACGTGAATATCAGTATTGAGAAGTTGTCTATTATACCAAAGTATAATTCATGATGATGGATGGGAACTACAGCAAAAATTATTTTCATAGTTCTCTGCATCTATCATGATTAGCTAAATTAAATGTCTACTATACATTTAGAGGCAGTTCAATACCATTTTTTAAAAAATGGAACAATCTTGCAGCTGGTAAGAGTTCTAAAACCTGAAACAACTTTTGAAAGGCATCTATTTTATTCAAGACTTTTTTGTATGTAGCAGTCAGAATGGCCACATTGTAAAATCCTCATTAAAACCGATCAATCCTCTGTTTTGGCTGTTACTTACTCCATTTCTGCATCATTTCACATACGGTACACAGAATTACAACCTGGGACTTGAAATACCTGGATAAACATTTTGGATTAACCCATGCTCTCCTGAAAAGAAGGTAGCATGTACAATTAAATTGACAGAATAAAAAAAGTGGTTGAACGCAACTGATTTTTTTCCTATCACCCCATTATTAGTACAGGAACTTTATCAAACATACTTGAGTTTGAAAGCAAATCCCAAGTAGTGTCCATTCATGAATATTTATACAGCACAGCAGGTCACGAATGGGTGCTGCCCCGACTTGCTCTTAAACTCAATCCACGTATTTGCTAAGCTGCACACTCTCTTGATTTAATAAACAGAAAAGGAGCAATACCTTAAACTAGGCTGCTGCCAGGCTTCCTCAAGATTGTTCTGGTCATTACCTACCTTTAAAGGCTTAATACAAAATCCTTAACATCTTGTTTTGCAGGTATCAGTGTGAAATATGCAAGCAGTTTGTGGAAACAGTTACTGGGCTCACATCCCTTTTAAAATCTGCCAGCAAGAAGGGGTTAAACCTTGCTTTTCTCTGTTTATGAATTGTAATGCCACTCGAAACCTTACGTCCTCTAACATTGTACTAGGGCAGAGCATTACTGTATGTACTCCCATCGGACATATCAGCACAATGTGCTGAAGTATTTTGGGATATCCTTGTTAGATCCTTACGTAACCATATGACCTCACAGACATGATCTGAAATCATGTCCCAAGGCACATAGCAGGAGGCTAGGTACAGCTGTGTCCTACTTCACGCCACCTCCACGTATATTGAGTTTTGGAGCACTAGCAAGGCTTGTAAAAATACAAAGGAATACCTTACAAAAGAAAAAGGCATTTGGGAAAAAAAAAAAGAGAAAAGAAATTATGCTCACCTGCTCACCAGCCTGGGATTCCCCTATGATGAATCGATCTCCTGGGCCATCAGCAGCTGTTAAGATGGACAATACAAACGATAAAGGCTGAACCAAAGCAAATGATGGCATTAGAAATTAAAAACAGGAAAACCAAAGAATGATCTAAGATTCAGTTCTTCAGCGTCACCATGACAGAAGTTATAGACATTTTGCAAATTTTTTACATTTTGTGTCCTTTTAAGTTGTGTTTATTTTGAAAATCACAGGTTCTATAGCACTTCTAACTGAAAATTTCTGGGCTATAGGGGATCAAGTAAAAGGAGATTAGGAGGAATTACATTAATAACAAAGATTTAAGAGTGTTCATGAGATTATTTTTATAAACATGTCCACCATGAGCAAACTTTTTCCATGTGAAACTAACACAGGGGAACCACATATTTTGTAAGTGTATTGTATGTCTGTTTTCTAGACAACAATGGAATATTGACATTTCTAGATTCTATCTCTGCCTTTAGAGGAAAATAGGGACAAATGCAGTGGTTACAGACTGTGTAGATAACCATACAGGTTTGGCATTTTCTGAAGAGCACTAGGGCTAAGATAATGCAGCTTGGGCTGCTACATTAGAAGTCTGGGTTCTGTTCCTTTTGGTAACTTCAAGAGGTAGCACTGAACTAGTTACCTCATACCTTTCAATGAAGCCATCCCGATAATTAAAAGTGGGAGATCATTTATTTAACAAACTGAAAGTCTCCAGGACTTCTAATTTAGCCAAATCTGTATTTTTACATGGTCAACACAGGCACCGTCCCTAACAAAGTTTAAGCTTCTGCCTTCCTCAAACGTCTTTCGGCAAGTTGCATTATAGGTATTATAGGCTCTATCATGGTGTAAAGCATGTATGGAGCACAAGCAACTCTGCCTGTCCAAGCACAGCAGGCATGCTGTCAAGAGTGTTCAGACACACTGGGTTCATAGAATTACGTTTAAATATGTTTTTTTATTAATTTTACATCTGTGACTGTCAAATGTTGATTTCCCAGAGATGAAGTCTAATCAGTGACAACCTTTATCTTAATACCTTCTGTTTTATTTCAAAAACCCTGAATATACAGCTAGATAACCTTACTGTATTGAGAAGAATTGCTTTCAGGAAGGATGCCCATTCAGTCTGTGTAACTATTTATCACATTTGTACTCATGTATCAGCTGCAACTCTGCAGATGATGATCTATAGTGCTTCGGTTTGAAGACTAATGATTAACTTTAAAAGCCCATCAAACAGCCTAACCTATGAGCTTTAGAACAAACTCTAAAATAAGAAAGTGGAAAAGGACTCTTCAACTACTTGTCTTTGAATAATGCATATAATACTACTGAATACAGTTGTCAGACCTTCACTGAAAAAAAAGCACTGTGATGATCCCCCAAAAGAAGAGAAAAAATTCCCTAATAGCTAAATTATTTTAAACCTGATAAAACGCTTCTGAATTAGATTTTATTCCCCCATTAATAATGATATGGAGACAAAATTTATAAGTGATGTACAACAGCTGTAGCTTCAAAAAGTGGAAAAAGTTTTGGGCAGATGGGTTTATGCAACTGAAAGCTAATCCCTTATTTTTTTGTAAAAAAAATCTGTTAATATAATCAATATTATTTCTGTCTACAAGCTTTGTTTCTCATATCCTGAGATAACACGTCTACAAGAACAATAAGATATAAGGTAAACTACCAGTATTTCTCTGGCTACATCTGCACTCCCTTGCCACTATTACTGGTCATTTTGGTCAACCTGTCTCTCACACACATAGATGACAGACAGCGGCGATCAAAGTTGTCTTATAGACCTGGAATTTTATTTTTATATCAAATCCATGGGGGAGCTATTGGACTACATCCATTGCCTGTGTTTACAGATAGTTTATTTGATGGACAGTTGCTTTCCATTGTTTCATCTGCCAGTAACAAAAAAGATATTTTAATGTCCCTAGAAGAAGTTGCATTAGTGGCTAGCTATTGTGTACAAATTTCAACATGGTGTTACGATGATTCAACCCATACCACAATGAAATCACTACTAGTATAATGTCCAATCATATATATTTTAATTTTCCTCCATAGACATCTGAGATGAGTATCATTAGTCTTACTTTACAAAGAGAAAAAATGATGCACAGAGAAGCAACTTGCTCAAAATCATGCAGCACCTAATGGCAAAGCAGAGGATGGATTCAAGTCTCCTGGGAAACCACTCACTGCTTGCTCCGTAAAGTCACACTACTCATTCTATCTATATACGGCAATTGCAATATTTTCAAAGTAAAAATGTGTTCTTCTTTTGAGATGCCTCCATAAGACTACATTCTGATACATATTTTTGAAAATTCTCTGATGCAATCATAAAATAATTCACAAATAGGAAGCTGGATCTGTGACAGTTCAACAAAGTAGCATATATATAAGAAATTCCTGATTAAATCAACAACAGAGGAATAGAAGAAGAATCTGTCATTCAGAAACATGTTCTGTTACTCTACTGGATTATTTACATTTCCAAGAAACTCACTAGCAACACAAGTGCATGTCTATGAGCACACATGGACGTACATTTGCTCGTGTACATATGTATCCACTGAAAAGATCTGAATTCCACTTTATGGTCTTCCTTCAAGACAGCTGCATTCTACCTAACTGTGACTTCAGCAATGACCTGAATAAAATCTGAACCAAAATAACCAATGCTGGATCCAAACCAGGTGAACTAACATGTTATAGAGTGGTTTTACAGACAGTATACTTCATGCCTACAAAGCGAGTGTCTACCTCTGACAGCGTAGCCGTCTTTTACTGATGCTGGAAATGGTGGTAGATTATCTTTTGCATATACATCTTGAGCAAGGACTCGGCCCATTCCATCTAGAAAAGAGAAGAGAAAAGATCATGCTCCATGTCATTACAGCTAATGAAAGGGAAAAAAAGTGAACAGCAGTGTGCTCTAATGGATGAAATATATGTGAATAGATCTCTCAGGTTTTTGATTTCTGCCTCTACATAAATGAAAAAAGACTGGAGTCTGAAAATACTGATGAAAAATTTGTTCAGTAAGTCTGTATTACTGGTTATGGTGAAATTGTTGACAGTAGATCTGAATGCCAAGTATCCAAAGCCAGAGGTAGTACCCCTGATACAGGATCAGACAGAAAAAAAAAAAGTATTTGTTTCTTCAGGACAACTTTTTCTCCTGAAATCTCTTTAAAATACATACTTTCCGTTATTTCAATTAAAAAAAAAACGTTTTTCTTTTTTAACAAACTTTTAAAATAACATTTCAAAAGTGAATCCTGTGTACAAAAGGTGAGCGGTGATGGATTGAGCCCAGAGGACCCAACATAAACAGTAACAATAGAAAAGTTTCCATAAATTGACAAAAATTTGCAATAGATTAACTTTGCCTAATTGCTGAGATCGTTTCTGCTTAATGGAGGGTGAGTGCACATAAGTGTCAGGATTATTTATGTAAATTTACACTGTTATAGTTCTAAATATTTTAATAGCTGTTTCAAACATACTGTTTCCCTTCACTTAGCAACTCTGACGGATGAGTTGTAATTTGGCTATGCCTTCCTGTAGAGACGGATATGAATTACTTCACCCTCAGTCAAGTGTGCACTACTTGTTTGCTTTTATGGATCCAGGAAGAGCTTTTTTTCAGTATGATGTGGAACAGAGTGGAAAATATACGTATCTTCTCTCTTCATAAAGTGGGAGAGTGAGAAAGAAGATTTATTACATGTGTGATTAGATGGACTGGGAAGGGGCACACGTGTCAGAACTACTCAGATCGACTTGCTTCCAGTGTATCTAAGCAGAGGAATGGAAGCTCATCTCATAATAGAGGCCACCGCTCTCAGGAGTGCGTTGTGCCACAGGAAGGCAATATCCAGCTGAAAGTATGAAGGAATGAGAGGATGCATGAAGAGAATTCTTCATGCCAAGGAGACGCCAGGAGAATTTGCGTGGTTATGTACTTTACAGATTATGATCTTTCAGACATGCCAAAAAAAGAGAGACATACATAAAATGTGTTTCTTGTTTTACAGATAGGGAAATCGATGTGGTTCTGGATTTTCTGGGAAGGCAGAAGACCTAACATTGCACACTAAATGGACAGGTATTGTTAAAAAGTGCACCTACTTGATTCGACAATGTTCAGCTCCAGTGAAGTGGTATGATAATGGAGATTATATTTTATTTATTAACACAATTATTTAGTTAGTAATTAATTATCATTATAATAACTATAACATCATTGTGATCACATCCATATGTAACAACTTTCAGCCTGAGCTGAATATTTTTGTTGCATTTTTGAAATAGGTATTGCCATGAAAATGCTGATAAAACCTGTTAAAGCAACTAGAAAAGCGCCTTTGTCATGGTTATAAATACGTCTGTGCACTGCTGCATACCGCTGTCTGTGCTACACAACATAGAAATCATTAGAAAGCTCACGAAAGCTTGTGCACTTGCATTGAAAAAAAAATGCAGACAGACATTTAAATTATAGCATAGAAAAGGCAGCTATCAAAGGCCTTGTAAAAACACCCTCTGTTCACAGAGGCACAAAATCTCATAGAAAAGTGATGCTTCTAATATTAGCAGGCGTGTTGTGTCTTCATTTTACTTCTTGTCTGCATGCAAAATCACACCAATTAGAGCAAAGTTGAACAGGACGTTCCTGGCATTCTGCCACGCAATATTTGAGGGGAATAAATGGCCAGCCAGGAGCGAGAATGAATTTCATTACGGGGAGAAAAATTTAAGAATTATTTGCTGAACCTTCAGGCATTTAAAATGAAGTAAATCAGCAACTAAAGGACAATCTGAAGTACCTCTGTACTCTCCTTTATTTGAGCAATTATTTTAGAAATACATTATTTGACCTCATTTTGATTAACTGTAACTCAAAAAAGATGTTCTGAAATATTTTAATGTCATCAAACTGCCCCTTGTGATGCCTATAGCTTTGTATTCTAACAAAAAATGGAGAATTACATTAAACTCACTTTTCAAATTTGGGTATTTTCTAAAGCTTAGCTGGTGAAACTGTTACAGTTTTGTGAAGAACTTTGATTTCTTAGGGTATTGGTACTGGGACAAAGCAGTAAGACAGGTATGGTACTAGAGGTGATGTATTTGCTCCCATTTTGTAAATATTGTCCTGGTAACACTTCAGTGTGACATGAAAAGGCAATGCTATCAACATAATCACCTAGTTCAAAATGAATAAGCAGTGGAAAAAAATGTCCAAGCTCTACAGAAATAATAGGGCTCTTGGACTAGATCAGAAAAACAGCTCTGTTCTGAGGCTTAAGCCTGTAATGTGTGGATTGCCTCCGCTTTGTACTGTTAGTATCAATTAAACTTCTGCCTCTTAGTTTCAGAAGAATAATCATTATCATGCTGTCTAAAAACTTAACCTTATGTACCCACAGAGCAATGTTCAGGTAACTGCATTTAGCTGGAATAAAAGGCTAATTGGGGGTTTCGTACCAGGTATTAATGATAGCAGGTGGGAAATACGCTTCAGATGCCTTTGGTTTATGGCACTTCTGTAAAATGTTTTAGGAATGTCCATTTTGTTTTTTTAATATGGACGAGGCTAAATGATTTGTACAGGCACTGAGCAATACACTTACCAGTGTGAAAGTCACAGTTCAAAAGATAACTTTACTCATCCTCCTCATCCTCCCCCTTATGTTAGGAGAGAACAGATTTGGGAGACTACAGCATGCCTTGACTTAATAAAGTCAGGACTGTACTGGCTACTTGTACAGAGTAACATTCAGCAGCTTTATTTTTGAGGATGAATACTATGCAATATGGTTAGTAATGTAAATAAATCAGGTTAAAATTAATTTGGTAATTTGTCCAAGTTCCAATCCTATAGCTTTAAACATCTCACTTTCCTTACAGAAAAACCATGCTCCTGAAAGATAATTTTAATGAGCTCAGTGTTAATTCAAGACACAAAACCACAAAGAAAACAAATACAGCACAATAGTGCTTTTCTAAGTACAGTCAGTTAGGGTTCAGACCTCCAGGACTACATTTTTATTATCACCTGAAATTACAGGTATATTAACTGAAAAATAAATGAATACATAACTAGATTAAAAACTAGTTCTTAATTCATTGTGTTCTTCAAAATCGACTTTTTTTAGCAAATTAACATACATATGTGCACACACATGCACACACACACACACACACATATATATTTGCCTATACAAAAAAATCCTATATATATTTGTCTGTATAACTACAGTGATCACTTAAGAACTTCTGAAAATGAGACTCCAGCTTGAGATTTGTATCTGTAGATTAAGAGAATTGAGTTTCCAGTACCACAGACACAGATGTGTCCTTTAGGATGTCTTCTAAAGGCTCAATCCTTAAATTTAATACTATGTATTAGGAAATCTTAACAGTGCTAAAATAACTGTATACTTGTTGAAAAATAAATTGCAAGACACAATTTTGCACTGCAGTGAAAAATATGAAGTAATATGTGTTTGTTAATATACTAATTGTTGGTACCATTATGTGAATATTTAACTAAGAATATATCTCTACAGCTGATCTTACCATGTATCTCACTTTTATTTTGGGTGGGAAGGAAGAGAGTCATAACTGAAGTGTCTCAGCAGACTCAGAACATTATTTTTTAAAGAATAACAGTGCCAGGAATAATAATCAATATGTTCCAGACTTAGAATCAGCCCGAATTTGATGTCCGTAATCAGGTAACATGAAAAGCAAAATTAAATACCAACTAAGATATTATGATGTATACTAGAATACCTTCTCTTACCTTGACAGCATATTCCCATGTAGTGTAATAAGAACAGAAACAATCAAAATGCCTTTTTGACAAATTTGAGTATGTAAAACTCTATAGAAAATATAAGCATCTAGCTAAGACCAATTACCTCCATTCTATCTCTGTAAGGACATTTTGAAGAGCATGTAGTCTGAATAGAATCACTCTTGGTATGCTAACATTAGAATCTGATTATAATCACATTGGTTAGTGTGATTATCAGTATTAACACAGAACTGTTACTTAGTCCATATTTTGAATGTTTTCCAATATTAAAATAAATTGCATGGTGAAAGCTTCTTTGTTGCGGCAGGAAATTAATATACTGTGATTTTGTCTGATTTCACCATAGTTCTAATGAAGAAGTTTACAAATCAGATATATGAAAAAAGGCTGCTACCTACTGTTGATATAAAGATGTTTGCACAAAGACTGGTGTTTACATATAAATAGATGGCGACATTATTGCTATATACATCAACATACATGTAGCATGTGAGGATTATGCTTATTCTCTGTCTAGAAGAATATTTTTAGTCACATTTTATTAACTTCTAGGGAAAATACAGCTTCTGTCCAGAAACACAATGGCAGCAATGCAAAAGTGTTGTGAAATGGTATGTAAGTTTTCATCCAGAAGTGTAAAAGATACAGCAATGGAGAAAAATGAAAATAAACCTAAAAGGACAAAAGAGTAAGACAGATCTATAGAATAAAGGACAAAAAAAGGAAAAATAACAGCTTATCAATACTTGTTTTTCCCTATAATCAATACAATCCAAATTCAAGAACTTATTTCTTCGCTTAGTTTTGCACCAGTTTTTAATGTAAAAAAGAGTAATAATGCTACAGTACCTTATATAGCAAAATTAACGTATGCTGTGCTTATTTTTCAGGGAGGTACATGCCAGACTTTTATCCTTTATTTCAGGAGTTCAATGTTGCGTACATAGCACCTATTTGGACTAAATGTACCTAACACTGTGGCTCATCGTATTGCCTACAAAGTGCTGTCTTAGCAAAGACATTTAACTGACAGCTATCCAAAAAGATCTAATAGCTATGCTCAAGCATTTATGTCTTAATGCCTTCTTCTAATCTGCACGCCATTATGAAAGTGCAGGGTGTAATATGCATATTCCTTGTTGATCCAGAATTGGTGCTGCTCTGGATGCAGAATATGTACAGCACCTTCTCAGAGATCTGCTTCCTGCTACCAAGGGACAGGGGAATGACTAAACACACACGTGTGATTCTATGTAGTCTGCTAAATCGGTATTTTAATATGAAGACACCTCAAAGGTTTGTGGAAGCACAAAGATTTGGTGAAGAGCAGGAAAACTTTGAGTTTTCAAGCCAGAAGACAGAATATCTCATTGAGAAACCATCTGTACCCCTCTGCTATCTGGAGTCCACTGACCTCCTACACATTTTGCCTCTTGAGGGTCCTTTGATCACCCTCTTATGTTTGGAAAATCTGGAGGAATCCCTGGAGGAGGTTTCCTTTTCTCTACCTACTTTTGAATTACTTGTCAGCATGCTTCCTGTCATGGTTCTGTTCTCTGCCAAGAACACTCTCCCAGATAATGCCCAGGCTTGGTGTAAGCTTTCTTGGATAGCAGAAGCAAGGGAAATGTCTAACAGGCAGTACGAACACACTATTTCAGGAGAGAGGATAATTTAGGTGAATAAATGAGAGGTGCCTTGCTAATTCCTTTTAAGGCCAGAAAATGGCTTCACCTATCCTCGTTTATTTACGAATATAGACACAGTCACAAGGTCTGACATTTTGGCCGCTGTTTGGTGCCTCTTATGACAACTTAACTGTATTAACCAATAAGAGTTACCCTTAGTTATAAAGTTTCAATAAATCAAACATTAAATGCAAGTAAGTCTCAGAAAAGGATCAAATGTACTGGTAGAATAGAAAGGGAATTATGTTGCGTTTATAAGAAAAAGAGGCAAGTTCTGGAATGACTAGTAGGCCAGCTAGGATCTGGAAAAACAGACTGAGACAAACCATTAAAGATACAGATACGGGAAAAAGTGCCCTGGAATCAATAATCACTTCGATTTGATCATTAATCTCAGATTGGAAAGGCGATTTAGTGAGCATCTCCCACAGTAAGAAAACAGAGTGAATGATCACAGTACAACCTGGAGCTACTTGGCATCTACAAATGTCCAGTATTAAATCAACCACTGAGGCAAATTGTGGTTTTAGCTTTGTTACATATAACACAGACCAGAAGAAAATTCATTTATATATTTAATTAGAGTTCCATTACAGATTCCTTCAGGGAGCAGCACTGACCTCAATCAACATTTTCCTGACTTTGAAACGAGACTTCTGCTCCTAAATCAGTTTCTCCTGGTGAAGGCACTCTCTCAGACACCTCACAACATTAATAAAAGAGCAAGTCCTTAAGAAAGTTGTAAAATAAGGAAATAACCACCCTAATCCTCACAAAGAATCCAACTCAAAATACCTCTGTAATTGATGATTTCTGTTCCAAGCACTGGGGTCATCTCCAGAACTGTGATGAAGGCCTTGTCCATAGACGTCAATGGGAATGGAGACATGCGGTGTCTTCTTGCTACCTTGGTAATGTCAACAGCACTGTGACCTGCAACAAGAGAGCACCAAGTTTATGTATGCTACAATCTGTAGATGTACACAGTGATGTTCATTTAAACCACTTTACTGAAATTAATCAGGCACTTCAGGGTAAATTAAATTAGTTAGTTATCACTATTGAGCATTTATGTCAGACACTGGGAAGGCAAAGGTAGAATCAAAAGGAAGATTTAAAAGAAAATGCAATTTACAGTTGAAAAAGTTCACAAAAGTGTATATCCTCACTTGTCATGAAAAACATACCAGAAGTGTTGGTCGGCATAAAAGGATCAGTTAATCAGAAAGAAAGACCCTTCAAGATGATGCAGTATTTTACACTGAGGATGACGATCTATCTGAGGCTAACTCAGTTCTATGAACTATAAACTCAAGACGATTCACTCCTCATGCTGTTCTCCACAAACACATCTCAATGTGCTATCTGCAGCGCACAAATAAAACATAAAAATGGACACTGTCCCAGTGAATTCGCAATCCAAGAGTGAGATGGGAGTCAAAAGGTTTGAAAGGGGGACAGAGGGAAGCACAATGAAATCACTGGACATTCAGGACAGCAGACAGTGTTTCCAGCTAGTGGGCATCCTACCCATTGTCAAGATTTTGTAGTCACCACAGAAAAGTGACATTTAAATGTATAATTTTAGTGCAGGTAGTAACACAGATTAACAGAAGCTTACTTTTCCCAAGTATGAGGGACAGATTGGGAGAAAATAAGACAAAAAATGTTTGAAAATGAAGCCAGCAGCATGTTTGATTTCTTGATACTTACTGAGAGTAAACAAGGGGACAGCAAGCTTTGAAGGATTTTGAAAGTGAAGAGAGGGAACTATTGCAGGAATACGTGAACAAGAGTGACAGATACAAACCAGAAGATTAAGAAAATGACATTTGTGGAAGTATCTTGAATGGATTTGCCTAGAACAAGAGGGTATTTATGAGAGCCAAAGTGGATGATGTCCTATACGTAATACGTAATGATATTCCTAAAGCAACATAAATTATAATGAGATAGCATTAACAAATAATAGAAACTAATTTTTAATGACATGATTTTGCTTTGCAGTAGCTACCTAAATATCCCATTTGCTGCTGCACATGCCCTCACATTCTGGAAAAAAATAGATTATTGCTTTAAGTGTGGTCTTCTAATAAAAAAAAACCTACAAAAATAGTAAAACAATCATGCAATCTAAGTTTCTCCTTCAGAAAAGAAGGTCACTTAATCAACCTGTATATACAAAATGTCTTTCAGCACTGACACATGCTTGCACTCTGTGTGGGAGATTGTTCGTGGATTTATTGTTTGCTGTTAACACAGTAACTACCTTGAAGAGGAAGAAGTAGAGACAAATAAAACGACCACCTAATTCCAGTCCCAAGAAAGATTCTGGAAGAAATTATTCAAACAATTTCTTTGTACATATTTAGAACATAACATGATGATAAAAGCAGGCACTGCTAATTTGTCAAGTACAAATAATTTCTGACTGACCCGATTCCTTTCCTTAACATAGCAGTTTGCGTACTGAGGAAGACAGAAACAGTTGATGCCATATATTTTAATGATATTGAGACTTCTCACGTTCTTAAATGTGACTTTCTCATAAGCAAACTAGGGAGAAATGATCCAAATTAAACTACTGTAAGATAAAAGTGTAACTAGTGAAAAAATTGCATTCCTGGATTTAACAACAGCGATGTCTCCAGCAAGCTTACATTTTCCATTATTATGCCTGTATTTTGCTGGCAACCTCATAAAAATGAGGAAAAGGAAAGGAAAGCATTTGTGATACACAGTCAAATCTCCCATATCTTTTTCTGCACAGAGAAAGAACCCCTGCTTATCAGCACTACAATTCCTTCAGGTCCAACAGATTCTGCACAATCTATGTTAAAAACTTTTTCTGGATTGTATAAATTAAAAAACTATTTTCTTAAAAGGAGAGGTTGGAAAAGTGAAGGAAGATGCTAGGAAAAAATATGTGCAGCAGCGAAAGCTGGGGCTATCGTGTGGCAGCAACCAACCTTTACGCGACAGCCACTAGGTGCTTTAATGTTTATGTTTTATTGCTACCTAAACCTCACCCTTAGCTACTTCAGAAACTAACATTTCACCTCTTTAACCCTTAAGACGTGAATGAATTCAGAGGCTTTGAACGGTGCCCAGAGTAATACCTTCAGATTCGGAACTCTGTATCTAACACATGCCATTTGCTTAAGTCAAAGGTTCTGTTAAAATCTACTGAGAAATAAGTTCTTCAACACAGTTTTTCTGAAAAGAGATAAAATCTCCTAATCTCTGACAACTTTGTCTGACAACACCAAAAGTAACACCCATTATTCCTGCAAGAGAAGCCAAGAAAATACATACTCAAAAATACAGCCCCTTCAGGTTTAACACTAGCATGAATAACCTTAACGAAGAAAGGAAGAAAGACCCATGTGTAACTACTAACCCTTCTCTCTCCCTGTTTCCTCCTGGAAACAAATGCTAACTCCTCTTTTAGAGGTATCATACATTTAAACAGACCAGGAGACAAACAAGTAACAATTTTTTAAATTCTAAAATTACTAAGTAGTATTTTTTAATTACAAGCAAATGACATTTTTTAAGAATTATTATTACTTAAGACATTAAATAAGAACATTATTCAAGACATTATTATTAAGATAATAAATAAGGACATTATTTAAGAAGGAAATCTTAAAGGCGCAGGAGCAGGCGGTCCCCATGTGTCGCAAGATGAGCTGGTGGGGAAGGTGACCGGCCTGGCTGAACAGGGAGATTTTGCTGGGACTCAGGAAAAAGAGGAGAGTTTATCACCTCTGGAAGAAGGGATGAGCAACTCAAGAAGAGTACAAGGATCTCGTCAGGTCACGCAGAGACAAAATTAGAAAGGCAAAAGCCCAGCTAGAATTCAATCTGGCCACAGTCGTAAAGGATAACGAAAAACGATTCTACAAATATATTAACAACAAAAAGAGAGGCAAGGAGAATCTCCATCCCTTACTGGATATGGCGGGGAACATTGTCACCAAGGGTGAGGATAAGGCTGAGATACTTAATACAGCCTTTGCCTCAGTCTTTAATAGCCAGTCCAGGTATCCGCAGGGTATTCAGCCCCCTGAGCTGGAAGACGGGGATGGAGAGCACAATAAACAATAAAAAAGAGAAGGGCAACGAAGCTGGTGAGGGGTCTGGAGAACAAGTCTTATGAGAAGCGGCTGAGGGAACTGGGGTTGTTCAGTCTGGAGAAGAGGAGGCTGAGGGGAGACCTTATCGCTCTCTACAACTACCTGAAAGGGGGTTGTGGTGAGGTGGGTGTTGGTCTCTTCTCCCAAGTAACTAGTGATAGGACGAGAGGAAATGGCCTCAAGTTGCACCAGCTGAGGTTTAGAGCGGATACTAGGAAAAAATTCCTTACTGAGAGAGTGGTCAAGCATTGGAACAGGCTGCCCAGGGAGGTGGTGGAGTCACCGTCACTGGAAGTGTTCAAGAAACGTGTGGATGTGGCGCTTCAGGACATGGTTTAGTGGGCATGGTGGTGTTGGGTTGATGGTTGGACTTGATGATCTTAAAGGTCTTTTCCAACCTTAATGATTCTGTGACATTAAACAACTCCTCAGACCTTTATCTTTCACTAATGTCAAATGTCAGATGGCTCTGAAAATAACTACTTACATTAAGCAGCATTTTGTATGACAAAACAATCCTCTTAGAAAGAACTAAGTCAATTGGTTGCATAAGGTAGAAAATTCCTGACAGCCTTCTCTCTTATCACCAAAACAACTTCCTATTCCTGTTATATATATGTACATATAGTAGATCAAATTTTAGACTAGGAAAGATTCCCACAAAACAAAACAAAGGATTTTTGCAAATTAAAGAACAGGTCATTTGAATCAAATCTGAATTCTTAACCTTTGCATTTTTTGGTTTGGTCTTATGTAACCCAACATTCAATTTTACATTCAGGTTTTAAAATAAAAATCATATATATTCAACTTGAGAACTTCCATTTTTATTGTCCTTGAGTGTTGAATCTTTTTGCCCATAAAATGTGCACACACATGTTCCATTTTCAACAACACATCACCACAAACAACACAGACCTCCGTGTCATTAGAAGAAAAACTTGGAAGAAAAAATTAAAAGGCAACTATCCATTAATACATGAATACTATGAGCTATTTACACTTTTACTCTCTCTTTGGACTGAATTTCATCAAAAGAAGCATGGCCAGCAGGTCGAGGGAGGTGATTCTGCCCCTCTAGTCTGCCCTGGTGTGACCCCATCTGCAGTACTGGATCCAGCTCTGGAGCCCTCAGCACAGGAAAGACATGGACCTGTTGGAAAGGGTCCAGAGGAGGGACCAGAGGGATGGAGCAAAATGACCAGGGGGACAGAACACCTCTCCTGTGACGAAAGGCTGAGAGAGTTGAGGTTTTTCAGCCTGGAGAAGAGAAGGCTCCAGGGAGACCTTATTGCAGCCTTCCAGTACTTAAAGGGGGCTTACAGGAAACATGGGGACAGACTTTTTAGAAGGGCCTGTTGTGACAGGACAAGGGGTAATGGTTTTAAACTAGAAGAGGGCAGATTTCGACTAGACATAAGGAAGAAGTTTTTCACCATGAGGGTGGTGAAACGCTGGCACAGGTTGCCTAGAGAGGTGGTAGATGCCCCAACCCTGGCAACATTCAAGGTCAGGTTGGACGGGGCTCTGAGCAACCTGATGTAGTTGAAGATGTCCCTGCTCACCGCAAGGCAGTGGTTGGACTAGATGACCTTTAAAGGTCCCTTCCAACCCAAACTATTCTATGATTCTATGATTAAATTTCTTCTGCAAACGCACTTCTATCTCAACCATATACTTCTCATCTGACTATCATTTGCTGTCTTCTGAGCACTCTTGGTTTCTCAACAGAGCTATGAAGTTTCAGTACTTACTTGCTCTGAGGATGTTCTCCTTGCTGCTGCACCTAGACTGGACCTGCAAAGAGAGCACAGAGTCTATGAGCTACAGAAGTTAACAAGAATGCAAAATACAGAGATATAATGGGCAAGCTCCTGGGATCTAAGACAGAGGCTATACATGTTTTCAGCAACATTCTTACATACTCTACATGAGATAATTATATTTAAGCAGAAGGGTAGTAGCTCATGGACAGATAGGAGCAATTTGATTCCACCCCCCACTCCCCCCCAAAGAAACAAGATGGCCTAAGGACGGTAATAGAGTAAAATCAAAGAACACAGTGGTTAAAATTATGTGTTAAGCTCCAGTTTTAAACAGAAAATCCACATTTTCTTATACAATTGTAATTACAGTAGCTCTGAATCTAGGTCCTGCTTTATGATTAGACAAAATACTAACATAACTATTATCATGACCTGCTTTAAAATTCTATTATTGATACTTTCCGGTATCACAGAATGAGATTAAAATACTCAATTTCGATTGTGTCGATTCTGAATATATTTATTAAGAATTCTTCCCAACTGTATAAGCAACTCACAATTGTATAAACAGCTCCTGGCTGAAGCCAGATATATTTACTCATTTGTTTCTGTTTGGTAAAAAGAAATGCTATGTTCAGTATGAATTTTACAGTGCAATTCTACTTTAAAAAGTAACTGTGTGAGAACGACAACTGGTTTCTCAACAAATCCTCTTCCTAGATGCTTAGCTGCCACTGTGCTATTCCAGGTACATTAGTCTGACTCGAGGGACACTGGAGGATTCACACTGGTCTAATATTCTAGTAACGCTGGATATTTACAGTTCCATCTGTTTATCATGCAGATTTAAAAAAGAATTCTGTTTTGAAGAGTATCAGTCCTGTAAACACAACACAGTTTAAACTTCATCTATACTGAAGCATCAGCTTTTCTTAATTCTGCTCAGGTTTGGAAAGATAGCACATTGTATAATAACACTTAAATTGCAAGTTTTCAGATGAAATAATTTGAACAACAGTCTGTCTTCCGACTGGTCAGCTGACTGAACTCGTAACACTTGGATAAAAAGCTTTTTGTATGGACAAAACCCCGGTTAAAGTAAACTTCACAGGAGGACAAACCTCTGAGAGAGTATAAACTGAATCTTTCTCTTTTTTGCTTTATTGACAAATATATTGCTAAATTTCAGCAAGAGGACTAATAAAGTAAAACCGTGCACACGTGGTGAAAGAAGTGGAATAGCACAGGTGACGCTGAGGGTGTAATTTCTCTGCAGAACATTTGTCTCTGCTGAAAAAGCAAAGGAGTGAAATTTTCTCTCAGACTACAGTTTCAATTTGCAGTTACAGAAAAATTGCCTAGAAAGTGTCTACGTATGATCTAACAGTTGATGAAGAATGGTACACACTCAACCCCCAAAAAGCAGTCATCAGAAAGAGCAACCATTTAAGGTTGAAAACAACTGTGCCCCAACTTCTAAACCTCTTTCTTCTGTTCCACAGCAGCTTGCCCCAAATGTATATTCACATAAAAAAATTGGATTCTACAGCGCAACACAGTCTACTTGTTGTAATGGAGTAACTTATGGAAAGTAATGTGGCAACTTAGAGTGGGTTATGGTGTCCTTCCCTGAAAAAAAACTGTCGTTTAAAAAAAAAAGAAAGCAGAAAAAACCCAAACCCAAACCCTCCCTCCTTCCCACCAAAAATACTATACAAGAAAACTGCAAACAAAATATTAACGATGCCCAAATTTGGCCCAGAGTTGTTTTACCAGATTTCAAAGGCATGACATGAACTCTCTTGGGAAGAAGTAAATATTTATCTATAATTTTACCAAATGACAATTCTGGACCAAAAAGATGGCATAATGGTAGGAAAGAAAGCACAAAAGAGAGAGAGGCACAGATTGAGAGAGAGAGAAGCAGGATGGATGTGGCAAGGCAGAAGATGGTGTGTGCAAAAGGAGACATGGGCCTATGTGTTTAAGACTACTGTTTAAAATGGAAGAGGCTCTCTTATTTCTCACTGAAAACCACATGAAAAGAGAAAATGAGGAATGGGCCTGCTGCAAAATAACCAAGCGATTTCAGCAAACTGTGGAATGAAACTCAGTGACATAACATAGTCCTAAAGAAAAAGGCAAAAAACCAAAAATACAAAACACAAACATCTGAAACAATCTACTAAAACAAACTAAGTAAAATATGTGATCCAAAGGACACAGATAAAAGCTACTAGAGAAGGAGGAAAAATGTTAGCAGACAAAGACAGTGCTAAAGAAGTAAAATGGAAGTCAAGAGAGAGTCTTCAACAAAGTGGAGGAACAGAAGGAGCCCAAACCCATAGCGCAAAGCAATGTTTGCGAATGGAAAACAGCTCCTTTGAGCAGTAATAGTTACTCTCGAGTTGTAGCCTCTATTCCTCCTCAGTTCATCTTTAAGCCCTTCCAACCTATAGTGGAGCTAGTGTATGGACAAAAACAAGAGATTTATAATGAACAGAGCAGCTGAGATTTGCAGATCAAATCTTCTAATATAAAAAACGTGCTGACAAAGTTTTGCTCTTACAGTGTCCAAATGACAATGGTAACAAAAGACAGCTGGCTTCACACGCAGCCTCTTACAGGTCATTTTTTTAATTCTGTGCACACAGAGGACTTGAAATTTACTTTTTGATTTCTTACACCCAGCCTACAGTTTCCATGTTATCACTCACCTGATGGGCAACATATGCAGTATGAGAAATAATTTGCTTCCCACAAATTTTAAAAGCAGCTGTGGAAGAGGAATCCATGATAATAAAATAAAAGGCTTGATCAGCTAGACTTGATCGTTTCCCAACCTATGCTCACAGCTGCAGAATACAAACCATGTTTTAACATAACTGACATAAAAATTAGTTACTACATAATACTTCTGTTTAATATGAATTGCACATTAATATCCTAAATGGTATTTTTAAACGACACTGCAGTAAAATATAATTTTGAATAAAACCCACCAGTTTTCTAACACATACAGTTTTAGCAGCAATAGAGCTTTGTATAAATGGGGTCATGTGCTTTAAGTGCCTTTTATCATATTCATAATTTGTATGTTTTACTACTTTGTTATTTGTGATATTTACAAAAATTCTGTATTCTTCTCACAGCTACTGCTAAGTAAAGAATCCATATTACATTGCATAGAGTACCATGACTGACTGGGGCGAGTGATTAGTAGTAGTAGTATTTACTATAATTCTTCTCATTCACAGGTAGTTACAGAAATAACAACCTATGGCTGTCTCTCCTTTCACAGGGAAAGTATAGATTTATTGTTTCTCCATTCTACAGCCTCCTGGCTCACACTGTACCTTGGCAGAAGATACAGTGGGCTACCAGCCAGTACCATTCCCCTGCGTAGTTCAGGCAGAATGTAACCAAACCCAAAGCATTCAATTCACATTACTCTGTTTTTTAAGCAAACTGGATTTTATGTTCTTTAAGATAGAATTTCATCATGCTGGAATGCAGAGTAAGCTTTCTTCCACAGGCTGAAGTAGTAAATAGAATGTGAAATAAAGCACTCAAAAATAAATTAAGGGAATGGTAAAATAAAGAGTCCTGTTTAGAATTTCTATCTATCAGTCATGGTTGGTCTGAAAAATGAAATCAATGACTGTACTAAATTGGATTTATTTAAATCTACGTGGTATGTTTTGCTGCAAATAAAAATCAGTCCTCAAAAAAATTTGTTACAAGAAAAATAGAAAAAGACACACAAAAAAAGTTCATGCTACAAGTAAAAAATTCATGTGAAAAATAAAGAAAAAAAGAAAACTGAAAAACCCTTTAAGACTTTACCATGACTGTTAGGAATGGTTAGAGAAATCACTTACCTTTTTAAAGTCATAACAAGATTAGCACAGAGTATTAAGTCAGCTCTTCATTATGGGAGGTACAATTAAAAGCCATCGGTTACAATAAAACAAATTGCTACACAAAGATGAAGAGTTTCCAGCCCAATATGAAAAGCTAACTCTTATGGGAGTATGTTTGAGCTCAGTTTCACAACATGAGAACAATTCAGAACAATGACATCAAAACATGAGCTATCATCAACAGAAAGAGCCCATTTCTCAGGAACACAGAGCCTGTCGGAGGCTAACCCATAATCTGTATCATTTATGGGAAAGCACATTGCTCCGCTTTTAGGACAGCATGCAGAATGTGGAACCACCAGCAGAAACCCAAACATACGCACAGACACAGAGGACTAAGGTACAGGAAAGGGAATGAGTTCGCCAAGCCGTAATGAAGGAAGCGGGGTATGCAAAGCACAGCAGCCGTTAACAATTGAAGAATTCCTCTAGCTGTCTCATAAACGCCTGATGATGAGGTATTGCACCTACTACAACTTGCTGTCGGTGACTGAGTGCGTAAGTCAGATACCCTCTCCTTGAAAAGTCAGCAGTTTTATGAAGACCATTTATTCTGTGTGATGTGGGAAAATATGCTGCTGCTGCTTTTTTCTACATGTGATTTATTAGTAATTACATGATCCGAGTTCTGCACCATATACTCTGCGCACACGCCATTTGAACCGTCTGTCAAATACTTGCCTGCTTTAAATAGATTTCAAATCACACATGATCTGATTTATAACTGTAGGGGTTTGCATGGTGTCTCTTGCCTAAAATACCTTTCCCCGCCTAAGTGCAACACACATTAATCAGTACCTGCAAATAACTATATAAAACTAAACCACGAATTACAATGTCTCAAACTGGTGTAATAATACCGTAAAAATTGATTTTGGCCTGTTATTCTAAGCAATATACATAAGGTTAAACTAGGAATAAATTGAAACATGTAATGAAATACATCGTTGTTTTCATTAAAAAATTATTTAAAATCCAATCTGAACAGAGACAATTGCTTTGATTGAATTCATATGAAATATAAAAATGAGGTTGAAAAAATTTCACAGGAAAAGTATATCTGGAATTGCATACTTCAGAAAACGTTTAACAAAGTATTTGAGGACTC